TGATCGAGCTTCTCACCCTGTCTCTAAGGGAGAGCCCAGACACCCTGCGGAGAAAACTCATTTCGGCTGCTTGTATCCGAGATCTCATTCTTTCGGTCACAACCCAAAGCTCGTGACCATAGATGAGGGTGGGAACGTAGATCGATCGGTAAATTGAGAGCTTCGCCTTTTGACTCAGCTCTCTCTTCACCACGACAGACCTGTACAGCGCCCGCTTCACTGCAGACGCTGCACCTATCCGCCTATCGATCTCACGCTCCATTTTTCCCTCATTCGTGAACAAGACCCCAAGATACTTGAACTCCTCCACTTGGGGTAGGACCTCCTCCCTGACCCGGAGAGGGCACTCTACCCTTTTCCGGCTCAAGACCATGGCCTCGGATTTGGAGGGACTGATCTTCATCCCGGCCGCATCGCATTCGGCTGCGAACCGCTCCAGCGAAAGCTGTAGATCACGATCTGATGAAGCCAATAAGACCACATCATCTGCAAAAAGCAGAGATGCAATCCTAAGGCCACCAAAACGCATCCCCTCAACACCTTGGCTGCACCTAGAAATTCTGTCCATAAAAGTTATGAACAGAATCGGTGACAAAGGGCAACCTTGGCGGAGTCCAACTCTCACCGGGAACAAGCCCGACTTACTGCCGGCAATGCGGACCAGGCTCTGACACCGGTCATACAGGGACCTAACAGCCTGTATCAAAGGGCCCGGTACCCCATACTCCCAGAGTACCCCCCACAGGGCCCCCCGAGGGACGCGGTCGAACGCCTTCTCCAAGTCCACAAAGCACATGTAGACTGGTTGGGCAAACTCCCACGCACCCTCCAGGACCCTGCTGAGAGTGTAGAGCTGGTCCAGTGTTCCACGGCCAGGACGAAAACCGCACTGTTCCTCCTGAATCCGAGGTTCGACTATCCGACGGACCCTCCCCTCCAGAACCCCCGAATAGACCTTACCAGGGAGGCTTAAGAGCGTGATTCCCCTGTAGTTGGAACACACTCTAAGGTCCCCCTTTTTGAATAGGGGGACCACCACCCCGGTCTGCCAATCCAGGGGAACTTCCCCCGATGTCCACGCAATATTGCAGAGTCGCGTAAGCCAACACAACCCTACAACATCCAGAGCCTTAAGGAACTCCGGGCGAATCTCATCCACCCCTGGGGCCCTGCCACCGAGGAGCTTTTTAACCACCTCGGTGACCTCGGCACCAGAGATTGGAGGGCCCGACCCAGAGTCCCCAGGCTCCGCTTCCTCAGTGGAAGACGTGCTGGTGGGATTGAGGAGGTCTTCAAATTATTCCGCCCACCGACCCACAACATCCCGAGTTGAGGTCAGCAGCACACCACTCCCACTATAAACAGTGTTGGTGGCGTACCGCTTTCCCCCCCCCTGAGACGCCGGATGGTGGACCAGAATCGTCTCGAAGCCGTGCGGAAGTCGTTCTCCATGGCCTCTCCGAACTCCTCCCATGCCCGAGTTTTTGCCTCAGCAACCACCCGAGCCGCATGTTGCTTGGACTGCCGGTACCCATCAGCTGCTTCTGGGGTCCCACAGGCCAAAAAGGCCCGATAGGACTCCTTCTTCAGCCTGACAGCATCCCTCACCGACGGTGTCCACCATCGGGTTCGAGGGTTGCCGCCGCGACAGGCACCGACAACCTTGCGGCCGCACCTCTGGTAAGCCTCCTCGACAATAGAGGCACGAAACATGGTCCACTCAGACTCAATGTCCCCCACCTCCCTCGGAACATGTTCAAAGTTCTCCCGGAGGTGGGAGTTGAAAGTCTGTCTCACAGGAGACTCTGCCAGACGTTCCCAGCAAACTCTCACAATATGTTTGGGTCTGCCAGGTCTGACCGGCATCCTCCCCCACCATCGGAGCCAACTCACCACCAGGTAGTGATCAGTTGACTGCTCCGCCCCTCTCTTCACCCGAGTGTCCAAGACATGTGGCCGCAGATCAGATGAGACGATGACAAAGTCGATCATCGAACTGCGGCCTAGGGTGTCCTGGTGCCAAGAGCACATATGGACACCCTTATGCTTGAACAAGGTGTTCGTTATTGACAATCCATGACGAGCACAGAAGTCCAACAACAGAACACCACTCTGGTTCAGATCAGTGGGGCCGTTCCTCCCAACCACACCCCTCCAGGTCTCACTGTCATTGCCCAAATGAGCATTGAAGTCCCCCAGCAGAACAAGGGAGTCCCAAGAAGGTCCACTTTCCAGTACCCCCTCCAAGGACTCCAGAAAGGGTGGATAATCTGAACTGCCATTTGGTGCATAAGCACAAACGACAGTCAGAACCCGTCCCCCCACACGTAGGCGGAGGGAGGCCACCCTCTCATTCACCGGGGTGAACCCCAAAACACAGGCACCAAGTTAGGGGGCAATAAGTACGCCCACACCTGCTCGGCGCCTCTCACCAGGGGCAACTCCAGAGTGGAAGAGTGTCCAGCCCCTCTCAAGGAAACTGGTTCCAGAGCCCGAGTTATGCGTAGAGGTGAGTCCGACTATTTCTAGCCGGAACCTCTCAGCCTCACACACCAGCTCAGGCTCCTTCCCCACCAGTGAGGTGACATTCCACGTCCCAATAGCCAGCTTCTGTAGCTGAGGATCAGACCGCCAGGGTCCCCGCCCTCGGCCACCACCCATCCCACATTGCATCCGACCCCTTTGGCCCCTCCCACAGGTGGTGAACCCATGGGAAGGGGGACCCACGTCTCCTCTTCGGGCTGTGCCCGGCCGAGCTCCATGGGTAAAAGCCCGGCCACCAGGCGCTCACCCGTGTGCCCCACCTCCAGGCCTGGCTCCAGAGTGGGGCCCCGGTGACCCACGTCCGGGCAAGGGAACATTAGGTCCGTTTTTTTTTTCTCATCAAAGGGGTTTTTGGGCTGCACTTTGTCAAAATAGAACTTTTTTGTCTTAATTCCACTCGCCGTGTTTGGAGGACGAAGAATGATGAGTACTATCCCAAAAACACCATTCCTACTGTGAAGCATGGGGGTAGAAGCATCATGCATTGGGGGTGTTTTTCTGCACATAGGACAGGACTACTGCATTGTATTAAGAATGACTGGGGCCATGTATTGCGAGATTTTGGGGAACAACCTCCTTCCCTCAGTTAGAGCATTCGTAGAAAATGGGTCGTGGCTGGATCTTCCAACATGGCAAAGGCCCGAAGCACACAGCCAGGATAACCAAGGAGTGGCGCCATAAGAAGCATATCAAGGTTCTGAAGTGGCCTAGCCAGTCTCCAGACCTAAACCCTATAGAAAATCTTTGGAGGGAGCTCAAACTCCGTGTTTCTCAGCGACAGCCCAGAAACCTGGCTGATCTAGAGAAGATCTGTGTGGAGGAATGGGCCAAAATCTCTGCTGCAGTGTGTGCACACCTGGTCAAAAACTACAGGAAACATTTGACCTCTGTAACTGCAAACAAAGGCTACTGTACCAAATTTTAACATTGATTTTCACAGGTGTTCAAATACTTATTTGCAGCAGTAACACACAAATAAATTATAAAAAAATCTTACATTGTGATTTCCAGATTTTTTTTTTTAGATTGTTTCTCACAGTGGACATGCACCTAAGATGAAAATTTCAGACCCCTCCATGATTTCTAAGTGGGAGAAATTGCAAACTGGTCCATAATGGCAAAACAAAGAAGTGGTTTTATAACTGAGTTCTATAACTGTTTTTGGATTTGACTTAGACTTGTATCTTCTATTTGATTCAGCGACAAATTAATCATCATTTTCTTTTTTATATTATTTTGGAGTTACTTCACTGAACTTTTTTTCTCCCTTTTAACTGTGTTAATCTGGAGTATTTTTTCAGGATTATAACTTCAAATCAAATTTCAAATCCAATTCAGAAAGCTGTGCACCTTTTGGCTGGGGGTGGGAGGTGTCTGTTTCTCTGATTTATTAGACTGGACTGTTTTTCAAGAGAGACAACCCCATTGGGCAGGAAGGAGAAAAAGGCAAAGACTTTGTAGACACACACAAAAAAAAGAACTTGTTTTATTTATTTTTTTCACAGAAAATGTTACACAATTTGTAAAAATGATCAGGAACTTAATGTCTACCTAACTAATATTTTTGCTCAGGAGCTGCCACTGCTGACCACCCTGATCATTTGAGAAAACTATGCTGTCAGGTTTTTATATTTTTGAAAATTACAGTTTCCTCAAATGTTTGTGTTGGCCGAAGTCTATGGTGGCCAAGGCCACCATTGGCCACCCCCTGGCTCCATCATTGCACCTGGTCGTGGACAAAATTGCTCCCTCCACTCGCCAGAATCTGTCACTCTTCACGCCTCGAACAAGCAAAAAAATAAATAAATATATACATATATATATATATATATATATATATATATATATATATATATATATA